CCCATGAGGAATCAATGGCAAAGCTGACCGGCGACAGCCTTGCCATTGATTCCCCGCGAGAAACCGATGCGTTGGGAGAAGACGAGGCGGGCCCGCGGCTCTTTCGCGCCAAAAATGATTCGCCTGGCGCCCCCGAGTGCCCCCCGGCGCGCCGGGTTCGAGTTGGGTCCGCCGGCGCCAATTTCGGGCCGAGCCGGCGAAAAATGAGCCCCCGGGGACGTGACTGGGCCGATTTTTTGACGCCAGCGACCGAAAAATCGACTGGGGACCTTGTTGGGGGCGCGGCTGGAGATGCTGTTAGCAGCGGTTGGGTTGAGTGAGAGAAGAAGTGGGGGAATGGGAAAAAACTAGGATTAGGGCCACGTAGCACGGAGGCGATTCGAGTAACTTCTGTTGTTTCATTTTTCCCACACCAGGCTCGCGCCAATACTATTTCAGCCCGCGCCAAACATGGTTTCCGGCGAACGTTTATCATTGTTTAGATTCCAGGGCAGTTACTCTGATCGTAAACATGCTGGTAGATACATTGCCTTTATTATTATATAATTCCTGGTAGATAATTCGACTCGTATATTTTGGGCCGGTAGTTAAAACTTTACTCACAGTAAATTGACTTCAATTCTTAACCTTTCCCATCTGTTGACTGCCCCTAAATTTTGCCATGGTGTAGTGCAGGGAGACTCACCACATCGTCTCCCGACCAGGAGGGCTGGGCCAAGGACTCCCATCATAAATTTTTGGTGGGGCACATTCGTCAAAGCCCGCGACACCAAGATGAGATGTTTCCGAAGACTTGGCGCATACTTCAAGACTTCGAGCATCTACAACAGCGATAGGCAAAATCCGACCCCTCAAACGCCCGCGGACGCGCCCGGGCGCATCCGCGGGCACTGACCGGGCATCCTTATATGTTGTCTTCCACACTCGCGTCCCTCATATTCAAAACCTCAAAACCATGCAATTCATGCAACGCTATGTAAAACACATGATCAAAGCGCAGTTCATCGGATTAGCCGGACAAAATAAACATGATTCATCGGAGTTCAATGGCGGGCAGTGCAAATCCATACTACATACTTATGAAACATAGATAAAATATAAAGAGAATGAGGAAGGACGGAGGAAATCACCATTTCCTCGCCGACCCCTTCCCCTTCCGTCCGTCGGCGCGGCTGTGCCCCTCCTCTGTGTAGGCGTCGGCGTGCGGAGGCACGTCGTCGTCGGAGCTGGAGCTGGAGCCGTCCGTCATATCCGAGTCGGAGCTGCACCTCATGCCCGACAGCCTGCGGACCAGGCGGTCCTGCTCCTTCGGATGGCGGGCCGCCTTCGCCTTCGCATCCGCCTTCTTTGTTGCCTCGCACTCCGACAACTCAATGACGAGTCGGAGCACCTTGGCATTCTTGCGGCGGAGGCGCAGCGCATCCGGCTCCGCCGCCGTGAGCGAGCGGCGGAGGACAGACGTGAGGAGCACCGCCGGTCGCGCGGACATTGACTCGGACGCTGCTGCCCTTTCCCTCGCCCGCTGCCGCTCGCGTCGGGCAGCTCCGACGCGGGCACGAGGACCCAGCGGTGGCCGGGCACCACCTCCGAGGCAGAGGGTGCTGGTGGTGGGCGGCATACCTCGAGGAGTGGAGCAGATTGGCCGGAGCTACGCATCGGGTGGGAAGGCCCGGCGACATCGTCGACATGGCGTCGACGGGCGCTAACGAAGTGGATCCACTGCTGCTGGATCCGCCCTGGTCGACGACCGAACGCGTCAATGCGATGCAGAGGGCGACCTCCTCCACATCGTTAGGGTCCGCTTCGCGCAGCAGGCTAGACCAGTCGTCGTCGGAGCCGGAGTCCCCACCGAAGGTAGCGCTGCTTCGGTTGCCGGCCATCGGATGCGTTGGGAGGGGATCGAAAGTGGAGTGGACGGAGAGGGGAGTTAAGTGGAGTTTGGATTGCCTAAGGTCTAGGGTTTTCCGGACGGCGATATTTTGTGGGGCAGGCACGGCCCAGGCTGGGCCAAGCCGACGTCGTGGGCACGCCCGGACCGCTCCATATTTGGGCTGAATATGAGGTGTGCTGGTGAGTCCGGGCGTTTGAGGCCCGTTTGAGGCGCTCAGTTGGATCGTTTTTTCGTGACCGGTCAGCCCGCCCGGACGTTTGAGACATGTTTAGGGCGCCTGGCTGTAGATGCTCTTAGAGACCGTCTGTCCCACGATTACCATAGATGTAACCGACTTATGTATAAACCCTAGACATCCAGATTATCTATATAAGCCGATGCCGAGGGCTCATAGATTACACACAACCATCTCGCGATAGATCAATCTGTACTCTCTCAAATCAATACAATCAAAGCATAATGTAAGACATTATCTTTTCGAGAGAGCCTGAACCATATAAAAATCTGTGTGTCTCTGTTACCATCGCACCAAGGCTATCAATTCGGGACACCTACCCGAGATCTGCTGGATTTGACTCCATCACAAGATCGATTTTGCAAATGTTATTTGTTTCCGATCTTATGCAGGGCATGGCGGAGCCAGCTATAGACTACTTGTATCTTTCTTGTGTTTTCGTGTTTGTACATACATGTACCTAATTATATGCCTGTAACGTTTTCCGACTCGTACAAATACAAGTACCATATGCCTACGGGTGTACGGCTAGAAAAAAGCACGCGTCTACCGAGCGGCAGGGCACTCGCTAGCGCTCCGCAGCGGCTGTCACTTTTAGCAAGTTTATGTCCCCATCAAACAAAAAAAGAAAGATCTTTTCTCATTGTAAAAAAAGTAGAAAGGACATGCAACATGTTTTAGTTACGGATTGAAAAGCAACCAGGGGTGAGCACATTAATTTAGAGTTCCTTTTCATTTTAAAAGCCATAACTTTTGAACCAAATATCGAAACTAAGATCCGCTTACACCGTTGGAACCCTTACGACGTGCTCTTCGAAACTAGATTCCGCATGGGTATGTTTCGATGATTTTTTTATGTGCAATTTAGTACCTCGTTTTGTGCAACTGCCTATTAGTCGATGTGCAACTAGCTAACTGTGGATGTGCAACTTTTCGCCTACCCTGTGGATGTGCAGTTTTCACTGATGTCACCTCCACCCCCTCAAACTACCCCTTCCAGTGAGATGAGCAATTTCGTCCGTTGCTCGGGCCAACTGCCTAGTAATTGACGTGCAACTTTCCGCTTGCCCGTGGATGTGCTTTCACTATTTATTGCATCCGCCAACTTTCTAGTAGTGGTTGTGCAACTTCGGATACTGCCACGACCAACTGTCTAACAGTGATTTGCAACTTTCTCCTATACCCTCATGGATGTGTAGTTTCCCTGCTAGCACACGGTCCAAACCACCCCTGCTAGTGAGATTCACAACTTTTGCACTCTGTCTATATATAACTTTTCACAACCCTCATGAATGTCAATTTTTTACCATTCAACTGTCCTTGCTTGTGAGATGTGCAACTTCGTATGTTGCCCTGACCAACTACCTAGCAGAGTATGTGCAACTCTGTTTGTTACCCCCGCCAATTGAAAATACATGTCCACAAATAGGAAAGGGAAGGAGTTGCACATTGACTAATAGGCAGTTGGCTTGAACAATAGACTAAGTTGCACAAATCGCTTGCAGGGGAGGTGGGAGTAGGTGCACTGATAGTGAAAAACTACGCATCCACGAGTAAGGAGGGTTGCACAACGACTACTTGATAGTTGGTCGGTATAGTAGACTAGTTACACATCAAAGTTGTCATGGTTGCTACAATGCAACCTCATGAAAGTTGAATCATGCAGATCCAAAAAATTGGTTTTGGAAAAAGTTGCACGATGTAGTACTAAAGTTGCACAATACAGTATTAAAGTTGCACAATATAACACGAAAGTTGGCATAAAAAAAAATTCGTCGAAACATGCCCATGCGGGATCTTGTTTCAAAGATCTCGTCATGAGAAATCCAATGGTGAAAACAGATCTGAATTTTGATGCGTGGTTTAAAAGATATGAGTTTTTTAAAAATTGAAAATCCGAAGTAAATACACGTTAATCTGTTTTTTCTATTCGCATGTAGTATAAGTCTTTTTTTTTGCGGGTCACATGTAGTATAAGTCTGATCGTATTTAATACCATCAATCACATGCACTAAGAGACAAAACATGCCCATGCACGCATTCAACAAGTGAGGGAGCCAGTGTGATATGCGGACAAGAGCCGGCCGCTCAATTCGTCTAAATAGTGCGTAAGCACTTTTTAGATTTCATGTAGAAAAAATACTAGAAGCTGCTCTATTTTTTCTGACCGATATAACTTTTTTCCGAAGTGTGACAGCAACCTGGTTTTGACATAAAACACACCTGGTTATGACATTGGTAATCTTCGGTATAGTAGAACGGCACAGGTATACCACCCAGCGGTACGAATCCGATCACAGGATATTTTCCGATGCCTGGCGTGCGGAGAGCTGGATTTCAATTTCGCTTCCTCGTCCTCCTCCTCGCTGCACGTTCCCAGCGACCGAGGCGAAGCCGAAGCCGAATCCCATTCCCAGCGGCGGGGCCCCGTTCGCGAGCCCGCCGATCTCATCCCCTCCCGGTCTTTTCTTTCTTTCCTTCCCGTCGGGCCGTGGCCGGGCCCGGGTTCCCATCTCGCCCAGCTGTACCGCACTCCGGCCCACCAACGTTGACCCGCGGCGCCGCGGCCGGCCGAACCCGTCGCCGTCCGCCGTCGCGCATCCGATGCTCCCGAAAAGAAAAAGGAAATTACTAAAAATTCGAAGCGTACAACCGACGGCAACGAATCGGCGCGGGCCCCGCCGCGCAGCGTGACGGCCCACGCCGCCTCGCCCACGCGGCCGCTGACGGGCCGGGCCCGCCCGACGACGCAGAGGGAAATAAATACGGGGACGACCGACCGCACCCGTCCGTCACGCTTGACTTCAGCGCTCTCTCCGCCCCCAAATCGTCGGCTCCACCCCCACCCACCACCCGCAGTCCGCCGCCGCCGCCATGTCTTCCGGTGGGATCGCGCGCGGCCGCCTCGCGGAGGAGCGCAAGGCCTGGCGGAAGAACCACCCCCACGTACGCCCGCCCCCCTCATCTCCCTCTCGATTTCGCTCCTCGCCTCACCTAACCTGCTGTTTCGATCGGCGATGTCGCGCTGTTCCTGATCTGTTTGGTTTTGCTTCTCGCAGGGCTTCGTCGCCAAGCCGGAGACGCTGGGCGACGGCACGGTCAACCTCATGGTCTGGCACTGCACCATCCCCGGCAAGCAAGGGGTAATAAGCTCCGCCCCCGCCTCCGCCTCCGCCCCGCTCACGCCCGAGCGATTGATTGATAGCGGCGTGCGTAGCCCCATCTGTAGTCCTCTCGTTTGCCCCTAGACTAGATCGGGGTGCTTAGCTTTGGCTGTTTCCCGTTAGCTACCCACCCGCAGCTTCTTGCTTGATCAGATCTCGTTCCGTGGATTGAATATTGATCGAGGCTATAGCGTGCCGTGGTCTCACTCCGCAAGTGGAGAGAGATATTATGCTAGATGTTGGATGGACCTTCTGCTGTTACTTCGTTTTCTTGGCAGATTAGTGTGTATTTAGTTCGTTTGACCCTTCAATTTGCATCGTGCAGTGGCCTGTGGTGGTTTCTTCATGCTTTTAGTATGCCCGAGGATTATTACCTTTTTAGTGCTAGTCTAACTGTAGCTATCTGCACAGTGTGTGTGTAGCTGCTACTGGTTTATCCATAAACTTGTGCACTATCAGAGTACGTTAGTACATACTTGCTACTGGTTTATCCATAAACTTCTGCACTATTAGAGTACGTTAGTACATGCTTCAAAAGTAGGTTTCGTTCCAGGCTTCCAGCAACTACTGTATAGATATGGGCAATCATCAACTAGAGGTTGACTGGGAGTTCAATTATTTCTGTATTCATATGCACAACCTCAATTGCAAGGGGATTGTTCAACTTTTGTCATCGACTCGCCTAGCTAAAGTCACTATCAGGTCCCCAGTGAAGTAGTGTTAGCATACCTGCAATAACCCTACTGTATATGCTTTCAGAATTTTCAACCCGGAGTTTAGGATAGATAGATGCTTCAAAAGGAGTGTTAATTGCTGCAATGGATGTTTGAGGTGTAGTTAAATTGATTGCACACTGAACTTCAATTGAGTCACCGCCGATTTTGTGCAAGTTCAGTTATCTACCCAGCCAAAGCAGTACATAGGTGTCCTGGTAGAGTTGCTTTAGGATATCTCCAGTCACTGTACCATATGGTTCAAAATCTTCAAACCCAGGATTCCTGCTAGCCAAGTTATAGTTAACCTGCTTGTTCTCTGGTGGCAACCATCTGATATAGGCTAATCTGAGGTGTCTACTGACTAGTGAATATAAACTGGGCTAAAATACTTGACAACATGTCCATGATTTAGTATGACACAAGTAGACCGTGTAAATATATGTTTCTTCTTTGTTAATGATCTCAGTTGTTTGCCTTACCTGATCTCTCTGTTGGATGCCGTTGTTAGCTTATTGCTTGGCACATTCTCAAGCTTGTCATAATTCATAGCCTTACAGCCATATTCTGAATTTGTCGCTTCTCTGTTTATGGTAGAGTTTTGAACTGTTTGTTATAACATGGCGCAGCTTTAACTGTTCCCGTCTCTTGTTGTGCAGACTGATTGGGAAGGTGGATACTTCCCTCTCACCCTTCATTTCAGCGAGGATTACCCCAGCAAGCCTCCCAAGTGCAAGTTCCCTACAAATTTCTTCCACCCGAATGTCTATCCTTCGGGGACAGTCTGCCTTTCAATCCTCAATGAGGACAGCGTAAGCCTGCAAACCATCTGTTAGGTTATATTTAGTGCCAGATTTGACAGCATGGTTTACCGTTTGGTTGTTTCCTCTCAGGGCTGGAGACCTGCTATTACTGTGAAGCAAATCCTTGTTGGAATTCAGGACTTGCTTGATCAGCCCAACCCGGCTGACCCTGCTCAGACTGATGGTTATCACCTTTTCATCCAGGTTAGTTAACAGTGACCATCCAGGGTCTAGCTAAAGTCCGATTACGCTTCCTAAACCGGTTCGCATATGGTCCTCTAGTCGGTAACACACTTTTTGGGCATATATGTGCAGGATCCAGCTGAGTACAAGAGGCGTGTTCGGGCGCAGGCAAAGCAGTATCCCGCATTGGTCTGAGAGGAAGGAAGGATTGGCAAGCGTAATGATCCATGCTCTGCACATCCGCATAGTTATTGGAAGTAGATCTAAAATGAATGCCTCTTGCATACATGGAGTTAGACCAAGTAAAACCAACCCGGAAAAGGGTGCCTTGAGAAGTATTCATCGTCTGTCATTGTGGACCAGTCGCGACTTAAGATTCGTGTTGGTTGTAATCGGGTTCCATAACGGTGATTCCTGAACTGTTCGGAGTGCTTGTTTTGTGGGTTAATGTCTGTCTTGAGGTGGATTGCCGTGTGCGTTACTAGTCGGTTCTAAATGCTAAAGAAGATGTCTGTTGGTTCTAAAAGCATTTGTTTTGCTGAAGTTAACCTGGTGTCCTGCCAGTGTTAACTTCCGTCCCACCTTCCTCTTGCTCTCTTCTCCCACTCTGCTGGTGGTAGAAGAGAGCGTGCATAGATCCATTATTTGGCACTGTCATTTTGGCTGGTGATGGTGTGTCTGCCTCTGGACAACATGAGCCGTTCGATCTACCTGGAACCAACGGCCGAGATGTGTGTGCATAGAGACATGGCCTTGCCACCGGACCGGAGGTAGCTGCCACTGTATAAAATACGGAACTATTCATCCCAGCCTCATTTCCTTTCTGGTTCATCGCCCTGACATTTCCCCAGCGTGCATTGCATGCACGTACGCGCTTGATCGATCAGAGCTCAAAGCCCGTCGAGACCTAGGAACTCGTCCGGGTCAAGCAACGGCACCGCCTCTCCCTGCCCCTGCCTCTGCGCGACGGGGACGCTGTGGCCGTCGTCTGGCTGCGGCGGCGGCGGCGGCGGAAGAGCCTGCAGCTGCGCACCGTGCGCGGGGACGATGGCGAGCTGCGCCCGCGTCCTGGCGAGCTCGCACTGCGTGGCCTGAATCTCCTCCTGCAGCTGGCTGATGATCCCGGCGCATCCATACACCGGGTCCTCCACCCGCCACTGCGCCTCCATCGCCATCGCCTCCGCCGCATGAGCTCTCTCATCCGCCGGCAAGCTCTGCAAGTGGCAACCCAATTCAAATGTCGAACCGTGCGCGGCCGGAATGATCGATTACCAGAGGTCACGTACCTGGAGCAACCTGGCGACGTTGCTGGCGCCGAAGACCCGGTGGACGGAGGCGTAGCGGTGGGGGTGCGACGCCGGGAAGTAGGGGGCGAGCACGCAGTCGTGGGCGCACCGCCGGCGCAGGTACTTGCACGCCGCGCACCTCCTCTGGTTATTGCCGACGCCTTCCTGGTCCTCTTCCTGCATTTCCACGTCGTCGGTGGTCGACATGATGATCTAGTGCTAAATCCTGGTGCGAGTTCGTGGGATCTCTGGAAGATTTCGGGGAGATCTTGTGGGCTCATGCTTATATACGCATCGTGCATGGAGGGAGCGCTGGAAATGGCAACACCAACGGCTACGTCGGTGTAAACATGGTAAGCTTAACGGCATTGCTGTTGCCAATTCTAAGCGCGCCGCACGCAGCAGCCGTTTGCACCTTCCTTTACTCGCTCCCCAGGGCCCGTGCTCGGTCTTCCCGGCCAGCGCTGCACCGTTGCCGTCTCCCCATGTTAGGGCTGCTGTAGGCCGGTGAGGCTGGCTCGGTTTAGTCCCACCTTGCTTACGGGAGGAGGCCATGACCAGCTTATAAGGGAGAGACTCCTTCCTCCTTTCGATCCGGGCTATTGGGATGGAGTAGGCTCTCTGCTGAATGCTAGTGCACCGAAAACATCCGAACATATGCCGATGGACCAGCATCCGACTTGATTTAGCCCACACTCTACTTATATTCTGGACGTTTATGCGTACATGGGCCAACATTCACCAGAGAGCCGACTCCATCCCAAAAGCCCGGACCTCCTCCCGTAAGTGAGGTAGGAATTGTTAGCGAACGTGTGTTCGTGTCCTCTGTGCATGCCTAGTTTTTAGCCTAGCATCGGTTGAGTCAGTTGAGCTGTACATATATAAACCAGTGTAACACCAGATGATGAATACAAGAGCTGTTGCACGCCCTCTCTCTCTATATCTCGCTCTGGCTCCAACATGGTATCAGTTTAACTGAGATCCGTTTCTTCCGCTGCCCCACTCTTCCCACGCCATGAGCTCCTCCTCCTCCAACTCTTCCACCGGCGACTCCTCCTCCGACGAGCCGTTTGATCTCCCGGTTGCCACCCAAACCCTGCCCACTCTTCAGGTCCAAAGCCTTCGCATCCGGGACCACGTTCTCATCACCCTCGACTACGAGAAAGAAAACTACGGCCTCTGGCGCCGTCAGTTTCTCTCCGCCCTCGCCAAGTTCGGCCTCACCGATCATGTCGACGGCTCGCCGGCGCAGGCTACATCCGACTGGGCGCTCAACGACTTCGCCGTCCTCTCGTGGTATAGCGCCACCGTGACGCCCTCAACCTTGGAGATCGTCCAGGAGCGCAAGAACTCAGCGTACACCATATGGCGCTCGCTCCGCTCGCTCTTCCGTAGCAACCGCGATGCGCGCATCACGTATCTCCTTGATGAATTTCACAGTTTTCTTCAAGGAGATCTTTCCGTCGTTGAGTACACTTCTCGGCTCAAGCAGATGGCTGACACCCTTCGGGACCTCGGCCATCGCATCAAGGACCGCGACCTCGTCCACAACGTCCTCCGCGGCCTCGACGAGCGCTTCCAGCACGCCGTTCCCCACATGACGAGTGGACGTCGGCCCTCCTTCATCAAGCTGCGCTCCTTCCTCCAGCTCGAGGAGCAGCGCCTCAGCCGCCAGGCGCGCGTGGCCGCGCGCACCGCACTCATCGCCCAGGCCAGCGCCTACTACGCGGCGCGACCTCCGGCGCCGGCGCCGGCGCCCGCTCCGGCCTCCTTCAACCCGGCCCTGCTCGGCCCTCTGCCCCACGCCGCCGGCAGCTCGGCCGGCTCCTCCGGGGCACGCGGCCGCCCAAAGAAGCGCAAGGCCAACCCAGCGGGGCCTGGGGGCTCCTCTTCCGGCGGGGTTGCTCCTGCTGGGCTTCTCCCTGGACCGCGTCCTCCTACTACTGTCGCCGGCACCTTCCAAGGGATACTTGGTGCCCGGCCACCTGCCCCGACTCCGCCCCAAGCGCACCAGGCCACAACGGTGGCGTCGCCTTCCCCACAATGGGATCAGGCGGCTCTCATCGCCGCCCTCAATCAGATGGCGCTGCATCCGCCCTCTGCACCTGGCGGCGAATGGGTCCTCGACAGCGGCGCTTCGTCCCACATGAGCTCCGGTTCTGGTATTCCCTTCTCCCTACCCAACCCATCCTCTCCTTCTTCTATCATCGTCGGCAATGGTTCTCTTCTTCCCATTACCGGCGTCGGCTCTACTTCCTTCTGTACCCCCTCCCGACCTCTCTCCCTTCTTGAAATTCTCATCTCTCCCTCCCTCATCAAAAACTTAGTTTCCGTTCGTGCTTTCACTCGTGACAATTTAGTTTCAATTGAATTTGATCCCTATGGTTTTTCTATCAAGGATCTGGCCACAAAGACGGTGCTTCTCCGATGTGACTCCTCCGGCGACCTCTACACCTTCGCCCCGTCAAGCCACTGCCTCACCGCCGCCGTCACCGCCGACTTGTGGCACCAGCGCCTCGGCCATCCTAGAGCCGCCGCCCTTGCCAAAGCCTCTTCTTTTTTTGATTTCAGTTGTAATAAAACCTCGACGACACACTGCGAGGCTTGTCGTCTAGGCAAACACACTAGACTTCCCTTTAGTTCTTCTTCCTCTCACACTTCTTTTCCTTTTGAACTTTGTCATTGTGACTTATGGACGAGTCCGATCTCAAGTGTATCTGGTTATCAATATTATTTGGTCATTCTAGATGATTTCACACACTATGTCTGGACCTTTCCCGTACGCCGCAAATCTGAGGTTCATAGTCTCCTTGTTCAGTTTTATGCCTACGCTCAAACACAATTCTCCCGTCCTATCCTCGCCTTTCAGACCGACAATGGGCGTGAATTCGACAATCTCGCAAATCGCTCACTCTTTGCCTCCCACGGCACGCTCTTCCGCCTCACCTGTCCCCATACTTCCCAACAAAACGGCAAGGCTGAACGGATACTCCGTACCCTCAACGACGGTGTCCGGACCCTCCTCCTACACGCCTCCATGCCTCCTCGTTGGTGGGCCGAAGCCCTTGCCACGTCCACCTATCTCCTAAATCGGCGTCCCTGCAAAGCCAATCTCCTCACCACACCATACGAACTTCTCTTCGGGACCCCACCCGATTTTCGTCATCTCCGTGTTTTTGGATGCCTCTGTTATCCCAACCTCATTGCTACCGCCCCACACAAACTCTCCCCTCGATCAGCGGCTTGCATTTTTCTTGGTTACCCGGACGAGCGAAAAGGCTATCGTTGTTACGACCCCATTACCCGGCGCATCCTATTCTCCAGGCACGTAACTTTCGTGGAGTCTATCTTTCCATTTAAAACGCTGCCAAAATCTCCTGAAGACTCGCCCGAATCAGCTCGTGATCCACCTCCCGCGGACTACGTCGACGTTGCATGGCCACCGCCTACCCCGACCCCTCCTGGATCGCCACCTGGCCCACCCATGCAATCCCCGCCTCCCACTCCGCACTCCACTCCTTTCCCCACGTCCCTGCCCGGGCCCAACTCTACACCCGCTGGCCCACCTACCCCACCAACTCCCATGCACCACGTCTCTCCAGAGCCGCCTCCTGCGCATGTTCCACACCCAATGCTCACGCGTGCACGCCATGGAATATTCCAACCGAACCCAAAATACGCCAATCTGCATGCCACCACAATCTCTCCAATTCCCACGTCCGTTCGAGCTGCTCTCAACGACCCGAACTGGCGCTCTGCCATGCAATCCGAATTCGATGCTCTCCTCGCCAACTCCACGTGGACCCTTGTCCCTCGCCCACCTCACACTAATATTGTCACGGGCAAGTGGGTTTTCAGGCACAAAACGAACGCCGACGGATCCCTCGAACGGTACAAAGCTCGTTGGGT